TATTTGCCTTATCTTTGGTACATTTATTACTGATCTGTTAAAGTAAGATTAGTACAGCAAATCAGTTTTATTTAAGCAGATGATAAGAGATAGGGTTATCTTCCTTATTTTGAAAATGAAAGCTACTACTTTGTTTCATTGCAGCCTTGAGCAGGGTGACATGGGATCCAGAAACATTACTTGTGGAAAAGCTCTGAAGAGCCAAACCCCTTCATAAAATGCAATATTACTACCTTAATTTTTTAGCATTTCATAGCCATGTTGGTTAATGCGTTAAGTGTAATTCTTGTTAGCTACACGCATTACTCTGTTAAGCTTGTATCAGTAATTTTGCTGTCATGATACGTTGCAACATCCTAACCATGCACTCCATTAATCAAGAACAATTCTAGCAAGCATCCCAAACATTGTGATTTAACCAAAATTTTCTCATGTTCTTGCACTGCGGTGACCTTGGCCGTTGCCTTTTTTGGATAACACAGGACCTTCTGTACATCTATACTAAGCATATGTATTGCATAATTCACTTTGGTCAAGTACACTTCTTCAGTCTGTTTTCCCTGTTTGTGTTTGTCCAAAGATAAAACAACGTAATACAGTCAACACTTAAATCACATGACACTTGTTTTCACACTTTTTACTATAGATTGATAAAAGCTTAAAGTCACTATGACCACAATATCAGCCTCTGTGTATAAAACAAACCACAGTAGAAATCAGTGTGAGATTTATCAAGCCACTATCCTCTGAGACACAGAATTATTTTTCTGTTGGGAGGACGCAATTTAAATGACACTGAATTGGTTGAAGCCCCAGGTAAGTTGTTCTCACTTTTGATTACACACACTTCTAAAACTGCATACCTAATTCCTAGTTTGGATTTGTCTAGTTTCAGCTTCCAGCTCTTGAGGCTACTGGTTTGTTTGCGAAACATAAACTGCTTACTGTTAACTAACCTCTTTCCCATGTAAGTACCTCTTAATTCTTAGAGGAAAACAGATTGAGTTGTTTGGTCTCTTGCTGCAAGGTATGTTTTCCATACTTCATGTATTGCTTTAGCTCTGGGGTGGAGCGTGATGTTTCAGCACCCTTTTAAAGTGGAAATTGCCAGAACTGCACACTATTTCTCAAAAATTACCTCAAATGCTGCTGTGTATTCTGCACCAACTTAAAAAGATTTTTTTATTAATATTGTGGATTTATCCTGTTCTTTCATTAATTACTATAGTAATTTGGGCACCAGTTAGAACATGTCTTACATGGACATGGCAACCTTTTCTTTTATAGATAAAGGGGTGTAGAGAAAAGCTATTCCATACTCTGGAGGTGACTTTTCCTTTTCAGTCTATACAGAGGGAGACTAGCTGGTTGCATTAAATGATTGAGCCTGTGTGAACACATCCCCTCGCTCCTTCTCTATGTGCATGCACCTTCTGCACTGGAAAACTCAAGTCTTGTACCTCTGATTTCTTGTTCAGAGAATTAGGATTATGTTGAACATAGTGTGTTCTGTGCCCCACAAGGAAGATGTTCTAATATACTAGAGATAAGTCTCTCTTTAGAATTTAAGAAATGGCATTAATATGTTTTGCACAGCATTCGATCCTTTTCCAAAAGCATACTTACTGAGAGGCAGGGTCTTAAGGAAGAGTGGGAGGTGATAGGAAAGGATGGAAGATGGGGTATTCTTCATGCTCTTATGATTTGGTGGAAAGTGTCACCCGAGTTAAGTCATAATAACTGGTTGACGTTCTGTCTATGACCTAGGGAAGCATCAGCTTTGTGCATTGTTTTAATTTTGGCATCTTGTACAATGTTGTTCTTGTGTGCTGTGGTAGCCAGCATGGAAGTTTGGAGCTGTGCTCTACCTCTGGGTGTGCCTGAGGTAATGAGGGAGAACTTTAGCTAGCAATGGGAGTCGTCCTCAGGCCAAGCCACTCGGTCTTCCTGGAAGAAGACTGAGTCTGTCTTCCCAGTAGCTGAAGAGAGCACTGCGATATCAGGCTGCTTCTGGCTGGCTGATGAAAACCATCAGAGACTTCTTCCACTCCATGCTTTTCTGAGCATAAACCCCAGATACTCCTTCCAAAATCTCCCTTAAGCAAAACGACATTGTGTGCTACTCCTCTGACACAGCTCCGACCTCTGTCAGCCTAGTGGTATTGCAGGGACTAAGCCTGTGCCTTCCTAAGCCTGGTATCAGGATCCAAAGAATTGGAAGAGCTTCCCTGTGCAATCTGAAAAACTTCTGTGTGTTAAGAGTTTGCAGAAACAAACACACACGTTGGGCCCAACCACCATTGCTCCTATCACTTTACCTGTCTCCTTGTCCTTGAACCATCTGGGGATGGAGACAAAAGCAAACATGAGGTTGATGAAACCCAAAAACTGGAAAACGATCATGAAAATACCAAATACTACTCCGTCAAAAGATAGTCTTCATTCACATGGAAATGAGCTGGCTATTTAACTGGTTGCAAATCCCTTTTAACTGTTTAAACTTCCATAGCAACTGGACTCAGCCTCTTGGTGTCTGCTTTCCTCTTTTACAAGGATATTAATACGAAGCACCTATGTAAAGTGCACTGAGAAACTGACAAAAAGGCAAGTGTCATTTTGTCTTAAAATACTCTCTTCAAGACTTACTGTCTAAATAGACACGTGTTTCTGTCTTCAGGAATAGTTTAATCCAGCAGGATTGCCAAGAGGCAACAGAGAAAATTCTCTGCTGCTTTTGTTCCAAAGAGTTTGGGGTTAATAGAAAAAAACATTGCCAGCTGCATAATGGATAAATTTGACCATTTCCAACTTTGCAGTGGGGCAAAGAAAGTATGTCAGATATCTTAGAGACCGAGATAATGTCCATCTCTTTCCTTCTTCTGATAGCATAAATAAATACTGTTAAGTGTTTAACTAGTTCACTGTTCCAGGTCGGATCTACTATGTTTACAGTTAGAGCTCAACATTCATACTGCTGTCTAGAATCTGCCCTTCAGTGGAGTTTTTGCAGTTGTGATCTGTGATCACTGTTTCCTAAAGAAAGCAGCAAGGGTGAAATCACACAGATGAGAGCCTCACTGTTCCTCAGACAGAGGTCTTTTTTTTTTCCCTTTCCCTCCTCCAACAGACCTCTCCTATGTCAGCTCACTTGCAGCCCATGCAGCTGCAGCTCTCTTGCATGAGCCGTGGACAAGAGGGGTCCTTATTCTTACTGACGGCAATGTTTCCTTTGCTTCCAAAAGGGTCAAAACTGGAACGTGAAAAGTCTTGTGTGTTGATTACATTTGCTGTATGCAGTGGAAAAGCCTTGTGTCTGTACAACGGGCGTAAGCAAGGCACAGAGAACCTGTTTCTGGATCAGTCAGTGGTTGGACAGCTACTGCAGTTACCTTGTGAGTATTTCCATTCTGCTAAGGCGAAGGTTTCAGAGGAGGATTTCTGTATTTATTTCTGATAGGAACGAATCAGACCAGTATTTTCTGTGGATCTCTCTCGTTAAGACAACCTCTCTACCCAAGGACCAGGTGATACAACCCTTAGACTCAAACCCGTCATTATAGGTGAGCATGAAAAACAGCTTTTTTGGTAAAGCATCATGTCCTCTCATGCTGGCTCAGCAGCCTGCTTACTTGACCACGCTTGAACTTCTTGAGAAACGCTAATGTAAAAAGCCCAAAAACGAAAAAGAAAGCAGTCTGCTTCAGTATGCCTTGACCCGGCCCCAAAGCCTCGGAACTAGCAGTGGTTTACTGAAGGATGGCCTGCGAGGGGCCTTGCATTTCTTTCCTTTGTCATTGTCGTTCTTTGTTTAGAGGAAGTCGGTATTTTTGAATGCATTTTTTCTGTTTCACTAGGCAGTAGTAGCTATCAAAGTACGAGATTTCCTTTGTCAGTTCAGCCCTTGGACAAGTATTTAGTGATAAACTATCTGAAAATGTCATCTTTGCCATTATCTCGGGAAACCACTTTGTGAGGGTCAACAATTCCTCTGACAGTTTCTCCGTCATAACCTTCATGAAAATGCAGTTTGGTTTCATTTTCCTCAGCCTCCAAGAGCCGTGAAGGCGGCCGTTAACCTTTCCTCCTCCAGCTCTGCCGAGGAGAACTTCCAGTTTCTTCCAGGTATTCCCGAGTACGGAATATCGCCTGGGCTCGTGAACCCCGGGGTGCCCCGGGACTCGCGGCCACCGCCGACCGGGCTCCCACCGCTGTCGGGGC